GGGGGGGGGGGGGGACTTGACGAGGGTTCTCAGGCCGATAATTACCGAGGGGGCTGACCGGGGGCTTTAATGACGGATCGCGGGTTCATTAGAGGCCTTTCAACGTTTGCCCAACGGAGGATGGGAAAGCTTTTGCAATTTGCCTACCGGATTCGGCGCGATGTCCGCCAAAAATGAACAGGAAGAGATGTGAAGACAAAAAGCGAAAAAAAAGTGCCGCAAATTCATCAGTGGGCTACTACAAGTGGTTAGAATTGAATGTTAACCCTTGGCAGAGGCGGATCCAGCAATGCAATGCGGTAATACCGGATTTCTTCCATTTAAACCTATGTTGAATAATCGATTCTTGTCGGAGCACTTGGTCCAGTGTTCGAAACTCACAGGCGCCAACGCGCCGAATGCGCCTAAGAAATCGGTCATGGCGCCTAAAAAATGAAGGCTCTGCGCCAACGTGGCCCCTATAAGTTGCCCCTCCTCCCTCCCAACAAGTTTCCCAAACTTCGATTTGTTTGCAAAACGAAACTGCCAATACGTTGTTAACAACATCGAACATCGACATCGACTAAAAGACATCGAATTAATAAAAAAAGAAGAAGAAATATCGAAATTCAACACATTCAAAGATAGGAGAGGCCTCGTTTTTCAACTTCCATCCCGAATCTGAGCTGCACCTTCTTGGCAGCATAAAGTGGGCTTGCGGACAATTGCGAGTTCACGCCTCGCACCAAAACGCCTTCAATTTTGCGGACGCAATACGGACATCCTTCGAGCACGAATAGTTGTATCTCTGCGCCGTCACCACCGCGTATCCTTTCCCGTGCAATTTTTGATTTCCATACTCTGTTTGTTTTCGCTCGCCTTATTTGTAGTGGTGCTTCAAGAACAGCATGATCTAAACAGCCGAGGATACGAAAGACGTAATCAAGCCTCGTTTTTCAACTTATTCTCCTGAATTTGAGCGACAACTCATCAGCAACAGAGAGGACAGCATCGCAAACTCACGCCTTGCGCCACCGTGCCTTCAATCTCAGATACAGATGAAACACGGACATCCATCAATGTTGCAAAACCACAAATATATGAAAAACGGTGATGTTTCCAAGAAGTGAATTTTCATTTTTTACCGGTAAAAAATAAAAAAAAATAAAAATAAAAATAAAATAAAATAAAGAATATGAAACGAAGGGTGAACAAGGAGATAGAATGCAACCCAGACAAAGCGCGACCGTGAAATTTAAAAGCAACGAGGCATTATTCATTTTTCAAAAGTGGAATCTATAAAATCATCTCCTTTTTTGCTTAATTTTTAAAAAAAAACCAAGCAGCGCTTCAATTTGATGATATGACTATTCCCCTGCGACAATGCGACATATTTCATCTCAAATTTTGGTACATTTTACACTTCTTTACATCTTAATTTTTTTTATTTTACTGACAGCATATTTTTCTGTAAGGTGGATATCCTGCATGCAGAGGCGAGGTGAGACTGATCGATTATCAATATTTGCCCACTTGAAGCTATGGTAAAATATCGATTACTGACGTGTCCGTTGTAACCCTGTTAATCGATCCTTTTCCATGGGTTTAAAGGGCAGATCAATGTACATCTTTGCAAAACGCGTCACGCTATTGCCTGCCCCCGCTCCGCCCAACACTGGAAAAAACCACATTGGATCGAGAGCCCAGACTCATAAAAACATCGAAAAGAAATATTTCTCTTGATTCAATCAGATTTAAGCTTAAATCAAGAACCAAGCCTCTTGATTTGAGCAAATTTCCTTTGATT